ATAGCCGGCGGATCGCTTGTATGTTAACAGGCATCGCTGCCGGTTTTTAAATGTTGTGTCTTTCCTGCTCGCGTGCGCCGCGCACGAGTGGGCGGGACTGACAGGCCGTGCATACACTTCCTGTTACATCCAGGATGCTCCTGGCTGGCCGTTTATACACAATGGCCGGCCGGGAGGTAGTTAATATGTGAGATTAATTCTTATTGCAGCCTCCCTCACACACAGCACTGCCACATCCAACATCTCTGTGCTCAGTTCCTGGGCTTTATCACCAGCTGTGCCCATTATGAGGGGCTCCCACCATCCCTGTGCTGAGTTCCCGGTCTGTACACCCGCTGTGCCCATTATGAGGGGCTCCCACCATCCCTGTGCTGAGTTCCCGGGTCTGTACCCCTGCTGTGCCCATTATGAGGGGCTCCCACCATCCCTGTGCTGACTTCCCGGGTCTGTACACCTACTGCAGATATTTGAACAAGGTTTTGATTCCCCCCGAAAATTCACCGCCAGCGGCTCATCCTGTAGAAATTCCATCCGTCACCCGTCACCTCTCTACATCCAAAGATCAAGCTGCCGTTCTCTTCCTGCCTCGGGTACTGAATACTCTCATCGCCCCCCAACGCCGGCCAGGTCCAGACTCATCGAAATGCGTCTCCCCTCCGTCAGTTTAATGGGCGCCGTCGCTCGCAGCGGAGGAGAGCGCGCGTAGCAATATATAACGAACGGTCGCCTTCGAGGGAGCCATCAATCGCCGTCCGCTCCCTGGCACGCGGAGCAGCCATCGGCGTCAGTGACTGATGCCGCCTATAATCGCCAAATAACGCCAAAGAGCACAAAGTTCCTGTTCAATACAAAAAAAAAAAGGCAAATAATAACGGCGGACGGAAAACAATTTTTTAAAGGGAACCCGAAGCTAAAAATCGACATTAATGGGAAATATTCAGCGCTGTGATGAAAGGCTGACGGATCCTGGGAGGGAGCGACGCGAGGAACGGTCCAGGAGCGGCCGGTGTTCTATCGAAAGCTCCAACTCGTTGAAATCTCCAACTACCTCACTGCCGGGTACTTGCAAGTGGGAGTCTCCCTTGTTCTTTGTACCGGCCTTGGATACATTCATTCATTAGGTGACCTCCAAGGTGGACTAGTTGGGAGGATCTAGGGAAGCTTGTGATGCCGGGGTACAGGTCGAAGTGTATCTAAACCCCAATAATAAAAATATAATACCTTGCATCTCACCGGCAGGTGTGGTGGCTGCATTAGTTTTCTTTTTTAAGGCTCTTCACCTGGCAGGGTTCCCACGTGTCCAGGATTCACCCGGACAGTCCGGGTTATGGCTGCTGTGTCTGGGTCTCATGGCAGCAGAAACCCGGACACATGATGTCAGGCAGACAGGGGCAACCAAAATGTAGATAGGGGCTGCTGGCCCCCCACTGACAATAGTCGCCACTGCGATATTTACATATGAATAAGCCGCGACTCGTTCCCCCATAAAATGTCTGCGCGTCGCTAGAGTGTTCGGGTTTCGCTTGAAGAAAAGGTGGCAACCCTATCGCCTGGTGATCCTGCCAGTAACACGCTCCCTGTCCTAAGTCCCATGTCCACCTTGTAGAGATCACATGACCTTTGCCTTGGCACTATAAGTAAAGCATATTATTTCCCTGTCTGATACAGGGTTGGCGGTTTTGCCATTAGCAAAATACAGTTCGGACATCTACTTCCTAGACTGAGATACCGGAAATGCTTCCTCCTGCCTGCAGCAGACTGATCACAGGGGGGGTGGGGAGACTGAGGAAATGCTTCCTCCTGCCTGCAGCAGACTGATCACTGGGGGAGAGGAGACTGAGGAAATGCTTCCTCCTGCCTGCAGCAGACTGATCACTGGGGGAGAGGTGACTGAGGAAACGCTTCCTCCTGACTACAGCAGACTGATCACTGGGGGAGGGGAGACTGAGGAAATGCTTCCTCCTGCCTGCAGCATACTGATGACATCATCTCAGCCTAGGCAAAGTCATTGATTGTAGCTCCAGGACGGCTTTTTAATGATAAAAGGTGGAACATTTCTGATAAATGATCCTGTTGCTGAGGAATGTATTCATGGAGACTGATGATGTGAATGACAGGTCCACTTTAAATAAAGTAAATAAACGGACATAAATGATGTTTTCTGCGTCATAAATAAACGGAACCATTTCTATCTGCCGCCGGTGTCTGGCTGAGGGGTGAGCAGCGTGTCTCCTGCTCCGGGGCTGCTCCAGGTGGGCGGCCAGCTCGTTCTGCCGCTGGGGTCGCGTCCTCCAGGCCCGGGCTCTTTGTTATTCCATCTTCCCAACCAGCCGTTTGTCTTCCGGGGCCGAGCACTTCAGACCTTGCCCGTGGGCAGCACGGAGAGCGGTGAAGAGGCGGCCGGTTTACATTTCATGTTTTGACTGCCAGGGATGGAGAAAGAACAAATCTGTTTACATGCCGTGCGGAACACGTGACCTTCCCCCGCCGGGGAGGAAGACGTTGCAGAGATATTAGTCACATGCTGGAAATCTGAGAGAGCCGACGGCCCTCCACCTACACCAGCATGACAGACGATTCTCTGCTTCCACAATGTAAAAACATGAAATATCGAGTTAAAGGGTGCCTCCATCCGGATCCAATACCCAGAATCTGCCCAGTGAGCAGGTGTGCAAATCTTGTTATGGCCACTAGAGGGAGCTGAGGAGCAAAGGAATTTCCTATGTGTGGCACGGCTCCATCTAGTGGTCATCATGTGCGGTGAATCTTGTTCACATAACTATTCACCGTGCAAACGCTGGAGAGGTGTACCCCCCGACTGTCTGCTCTGTCTCCCGGGAGGTACACTGAACACAGCAGCACCATCTATACCCAGCAGACTGGACACATCACACATTAACACATGCCCAACACACTGGACACAGCAACGCACACCCTGCACACGGCAATACACACCACACAACATACACCATACCTAACACACTGAACATAGCAACACACACCATACCCAACACACACCATACACCATACCCAACACACTGGACGCAGCACATGGCAACACACACCATACCCAACACACTGGACACAGCAACACACACCATACCCAACATACAACACACACCCTACCCAACACACTGGACACAGCACACAGCAACACACACCATACACAACACACTGGAAACAGCAACACACACCATACCCAAAATACAACACACACCATACACAACACTCTGGACACAGCAACATACACCTTACCTAACACACTGGACACAGCAACCAGGACCACACACCATACACGACACACTGCACACAGCAACACACACTGGACACAGCAACACGCACCATACCCAACACGCTGGACACAGCAACACGCACCATACCCAACACACTGGACACAGCAACTAGGACCACACACTGGACACAGCAACACGCACCATACCCAACACGCTGGACACAGCAACTAGGACCACACACTGGACACAGCAACACGCACCATACCCAACACGCTGGACACAGCAACATACACCCTACCCAACACACTGGACACAGCAACACACAGCAAAGCCAACACACATCTCCCCCCATTATGGAATGCACACGTTACCACATCATACACCATACCTAGGGCAGTAGGGAGCGCACAAAGTGTGTCTTGTCACACTGGGTAGCAGAAGGTGTTGCAGCATGTCAGAATAAATATTTCCACCCTCAGCGGAGCCCTGACACGGTTCTTGTATAATTGATTGAATTGAACATGTGGGAACATGCCGTGTTCTGTGTCTGCAATATGTGGAGTGACGTCTGGTGTGCTAACACAATGTGGGTCACGGCAACCAGAGTCTGTATCTCAGTAGCACATACAAGAATGACTCCATTGGACCCTCATACAGGATATCAGGGCCTGCACACACAGAGGACTAGCTGATTCTCCTGGAATTCCTTTCTGATCGGCACCTGCCGTGTAATACGAAACGGAGGATTTGTTTAATCAGAAGAGTGATGATCCCGTCCATGAAAGACACTCACCACGATTACGTTTGTTGACCATTGAGATATATGGTCCTGGATCTCTGGTGAGCGTGTTCTCTGACACATCGGGAGTCGGGAGCTCTTTAAATTGAATTGCGACATTTTAGAGGGCGCTACACTTGATTGGACGTGGGAGTCAGGTGTCCGGGAGAAGCCGCATGGGAAGGAACTGTGAGGGCTGAGGGACGTCCTCTTTCTGGAAATCGATGAAGGAAGCAGATTGTCCCGCCTTCCCTCCCTGAATTTAGTAGTTCTGGGGGTTGGGGGGAGGGGGGGTTCTTTTCTGTCACGGCTGCTTGGTGAGTTGAGGGGTCTACAAAATCGGAGTTGATTACAAAAATGGGGGGCCATCAGCTGGTATGGGTGCTTCCCCCTGTTAGTGTCCTGGCTTGGCCCCTTGGGAACCCGGAAGTAGTAAGTGTCCTCGAGCTGGTTGTGGTGCGGCTGGGGACATGGGCGGAGTCTTAGGAGAGGCCTTTTTGGGCTGTTGGGCACCCAAAGACCCCTTCCCAGGTCAACAATCGTTTACAGTATTATTTGTGTATATTATTTGGTTTATTACTTTTGGTTATTGTTAAAGTTGTTTGTTTAATAAAAGGGCTGCTGTGGCCGTTAAAATCCATGTCGCGCAGTCCGTGTGTTATTGGGGTTTTAACAGAGGGACGAAAATTGACGAATCCATCAGTCAATCACTTTATACAGATTTATTAAGGAATATTATTGAATATTGTCATATTGATTGTTATTAATATGTTTGAAAATTGATGTTTATGAAAATGTACGCATTGTTTGGAAGTTTATGAGCAGTAGCGCAGTGCAGGCGATTTATCGATGTCTATATTTATAGCACAGCAGCTGACACTGTTTAGTGTTATCAGTGGATGTACTGTAGGAGAATATTTAGCGCAGCACATTTATATATAAGCAGAGAAATGACGGCTGGTGATGTTCGGACATTTTATGTCTGTAATTTACAGTTCTGCACATACGGTGACACCCGGAGAAATCTCGACCCGCCCGCAGCACGGGTTCACGGGACGATCCAGGAAGGACGTCTCCGGAAAGGGCCGCGGGAGGATCCAGGAAGGAGGTCTCCGGGAAGGGCCGCGGAAGGATCCAGGAAGGAGGTCTCCGGGAAGGGCCGGGGAAGGATCCAGGAAGGACGTCTCCGGTAAGGGCCGTGGGAGGATCCAGGAAGGACGTCTCCGGGAAGGGTCTGCGGAAGCATCCAGGAAGGACGTCTCCGGGAAGGGCCGCGGAAGGATCCAGGAAGGACGTCTCCGGGAAGGGTCTGCGGAAGGATCCAGGAAGGACGTCAGCGGGAAGGGCCGCGGAAGGAAGTCTCCGGGAAGGGCCGCGAGAGGATCCAGGAAGGACGTCTCCGAGAAGGGCCGTGAAAGGATCCAGGAAGGACGTCTCCGAGAAGGGCCGCGGAAGGATCCAGGAAGGAGGTCTCCGGGAAGGGCCGCGGAAGGATCCAGGAAGGACGTCTCCGGGAAGGGCCGCGGAAGGATCCAGGAAGGACGTCTCCGGGAAGGGCCGCGGAAGGATCCAGGAAGGACGTCTCCGGGAAGGGCCGCGGAAGGATCCAGGAAGGAGGTCTCCGGGAAGGGCCGCGGAAGGATCCAGGAAGGACGTCTCCGGTAAGGGCCGTGGGAGGATCCACGAAGGACGTCTCCGGGAAGGGCCGCGGAAGGATCAACCAGGAAGGAGGTCTCCGGGAAGGGCCGCGGAAGGATCCAGGAAGGACGGTTCCGGGAAGGGCCGCGAAAGGACGTCTCCGGGAAGGGCCGCGGAAGGATCCAGGAAGGACGTCTCCGGGAAGGACAGCGGACTACGCCGGCCATTCGTGGAATATGTCAAAGTCTCATTCATATCTTTAATGTTCCGCCGCCAAAGGCCATTCCTTCCTCTGCAAATTAATTAAATCATGAATTAAATAAATGTGAATTGAAGGGGGAAAAAAAAGGTTTTTCATTAACCACCTTCCTGAAAGAGGAATATATTGAATTATTTTAAGAGAGCGATCGCTCACTGCCCGGCGCACAGGAACAGGCGGCCGCCGACTCAATATTTAATCCCATTAGTATTAGGATGAAGGAAAGAAAAAGTTCATATCCGCAGCGAATTAATGCCGGGCCAGGCGATCGGATCTCTCCTCTGCCAGAGAGAAATCATGACATTAAAGGAAACACTGAGAAAATGAGGGATTGGAGGTCATCTGTGGCCCTTCAGGAGTTGTGATACTACAAGTCCCAGCTGGCCCAACTCACCAGAACCAATCCTTTGTACTAATCAATCTTCACATTATACACCGGTGAATGCTAACATGCTTGAAACAGCTCTATACAGGATGGAGGACCAGTTCCATATATAGTGACAGTTGGATTGATGGCTCTTTATTTAGGATGTATCTATAGGAGGCTCTGGAGTGACAGTTGGATTGGTGGCTCTATATTTAGGATGTATCTATAGGTGGCTCTGGATGGACAGTTGGATTGGTGGCTCTATATTTAGGATATACCTATAGGAGGCTCTGGATGGACAGTTGGATAAATGGTTCTATATTTAGGATGTATCTATAGGAGGCTCTATAGGTGGTTCGTTCACTCGCCTGTTTATTTCGGTTGCCTTCAGCTGGTGTACACGCTACTGAGAATAGCACGTACAGCAGACCTTTGGTTCACCTGAACTGAAGGGTTTCTGCAGCAGAAGCGAGCCGAATAGTCCGCAAAATCCTTCGGCTTTTTAGTGAATAACCCACTTAAAAGGAGAATTATGAGGCGAGTGATTTTCACTCAGCCTCATAATCTGAGCCGACATGTGACAATGAAACTGTCACAGGTCGGCTCTATAGATCGGGAAGTGAGCGAACACATACCGGCGCTCGCTCACTTCTCGATCTATCCCTGCAGAGAGCGGTGACTGTCACTCACGGCTCCCTGCAGGGATTCCCCCCTCCCCGCTCCAATCCTCCAGCGCTGACTGGCGAAACGGACGGGGAGGGGGTGGGTACAGCCGACTCTGCCTCTAGATAGGCAGAGCCAGCTGACAATCCCGCAGCTGGGCGGATCCAGACAGCAATGTCGGAATCCGTCCCGGCTGCGGCGCCTCAGTATACCGCAAGTAGCTCGTGGTATACTGAGCCTAGGGTCACGGGAGAACGCTAGTTTGGGTCCTCCCGTGACCCTTAGGAGAACTATGGGGAAAAACACTGACCTCATAGTTCTCCTTTAAAGTGACATTAAGGGCTAACGTCCCCCCACAGTGCTAATGTAAGGACTTACTTTAAATTATGTCTCTTAATCCGATCATCTTCTTCTTACCTGTCCTTTTCACCTGTCCCTCCAGCGCTGACTCCTCCTCTTCTCTGATGTCCCACGGAGTCTGTGCGGGTGCACGCTGCTCCATAGACTTACCTTGTGTTTCTCCTCGTCTCCCGGCCGAACATCTGAACTGGGCATGCGCCCGTCCCAAGATCCTTTGCGGCCGCTTGAGAAATTTTCAGATGTTCGGACGGGAGCGCGCGGCGGAGACACAGGTAAGTATTAACCCTTTGAAAAAGTTATTTTTTACAAAATCGTTTTGCATATATCTACTGCCTGCTAGCCTTATATATGCAAAAACAGGGGAGGGTTTAATAACCCTTTAAGTGTACGGCCAGCTTATATTCAGAACTCAGAACTATTTTAGTTCTATGGAGGCGCTGTCCAAGGTACTGAAAACAAAACAGACACATAAAAAGAGAGAGCGAGAGAGAGGGGGGGAGAGAGAGCGAGAGAGGGGGGGCAGAGAGAGAGAGAGGGGGAGAGAGAGCGAGAGAGGGGGGGCAGAGAGAGAGAGAGGGGGAGAGAGAGCGAGAGAGGGGGGGCAGAGAGAGAGAGAGGGGGAGAGAGAGCGAGAGAGGGGGGGCAGAGAGAGAGAGAGGGGGAGAGAGAGCGAGAGAGGGGGGGCAGAGAGAGAGAGAGGGGGAGAGAGAGCGAGAGAGGGGGGGCAGAGAGAGAGAGAGGGGGAGAGAGAGCGAGAGAGGGGGGGCAGAGAGAGAGAGAGGGGGAGAGAGAGCGAGAGAGGGGGGGCAGAGAGAGAGAGAGGGGGAGAGAGAGCGAGAGAGGGGGGGCAGAGAGAGAGAGAGGGGGAGAGAGAGCGAGAGAGGGGGGGCAGAGAGAGAGAGAGGGGGAGAGAGAGCGAGAGAGGGGGGGCAGAGAGAGAGAGAGGGGGAGAGAGAGCGAGAGAGGGGGGGCAGAGAGAGAGAGAGGGGGAGAGAGAGCGAGAGAGGGGGGGCAGAGAGAGAGAGAGGGGGAGAGAGAGCGAGAGAGGAGGGGAGAGAGGGGGAGAGAGAGGGAGAGAGAGAGCGAGAGAATGATTGATGCATCTCTAGCATAGTTGGGGGGTATATTGTTCCGCATGGTATATTGAGTCCACTGCATCTGATCGAATGGTTATAGTAACAGCAGAGTCTTCCACTTAGCACTTATTTTGAAAGATCTCAGCAAGCGCACCACCGAAGTCCCCGTGCAGAATCTACAAGGAAGCATTAATTCCTCTTGGCTTCACAGAGCTGGTTAAAGACTTACATTAAAAAAATGAATAAACATGTAAATATTTCAGGGAAATGAATTTATTTAATAGACCGGCAAAACAAAAACAAGATAATGCTTAGAAGATCCCAGATTATGTATGATAATTCTCCCAGGATGGGGGAGGACGGAGCTGCCACACACTTCCATTTACAGGGAATCCAGAGGTATTTGATGGTATTTTTTTCCTTTTAATATACACATGAAAGTGATCCTTGTATTGTAAATTCTTTTATCTTAATACAGGAAGGTGAACACCTAATGTAATGTTAATGTAAAGTTGTGTACACAGTCTGGGTGAGTTGGGTAAATACAAAGTAACAGAAGAGTTAGAATACCTTTGCTGGAAAATAATGCTGCTCAAGGAGGCTCCCTCCAGTGCCAGTCACATGACCAAAATCCCTACTGGATACAGGGCAAATGCCTACAAGTCACATGGCACATGCCAGGGTCGTGTGACAAACACTGAAAGGATCCCGGGGCAGCATTTTGTTTCCAGGAAAGGGAAGTAGTTCAACCCTTTTATTACTCCTTATCTCTCCTTCCCAGCAGGACCGTTCACACAGACACATGGGAGCTGCCATTGTTTAGGTGAATACTCCAGAACTGCTATACTTATCCTTCCTGCCTGATGAGTCCCTGGACCAGAACAAGCATGTGCATAGGATGTGTCCGTACATCTGATAAAAGGATGAGGGTGACAGCTCCCGAGACTTCACCATAAGACAGCCAAAACAGGTCCCATATTTGTGGGCCAACCAATTTCCCATTCCAAAACCATGGTCATTATTATGGCGTTGGCCCCCCTTTGCAGCTATAATGTCCTTCACACTTCTGGGAAGGCTTTCCACAAGATTTCGGAGGATGTCTGTGGGAATTTGTACCCATTTATGAGGTCAGGGACTGATGTTGGATGAGAAGACTAACTTCTCATAACTAATTCCTCCCAAAGCTGATTAGTAGAGTCAGTGGCATCACAATGGGGGTGCGGGTGATACCATTGGAGGGGTGACACCAAGATGACTGACAGTCATTTTTTTGTGTCACCCCCTCTAAAAAGTCGGGCACTCGGTCATGGACCGAGAGCCCGACAGTGACAGGAGAGAGGAGGGGACCCGGCGGCATACCTCATCCCGCCTGGGGGAACTTCCCCACCTCTCCGCCGGCAGGCGTCAATGAGATGACCGCGCGTGCACGATGACGTCACAGCGTGGTGTCACCTGGCCTCCGCTGCGGGTGACACACGGCTTTTGGACGCCCCTAAGTAGAGTTGAGGTCAGGGCTCTGTTCACGGCACTCAAGTCCCTCCACACCAAACTTGTCCAACCATGTCTTTATGGAGCTGGGTTTGTGCACCTAAACTCAATTTAGATGGGTGTCCACACACATGCTCGATGTACGTGGACCTGGGTTGGTCCAAGATTGGTCCTGACACACATACAAATAAATCAGCAGGGTTTACAGAATACACACCCCACCATACACCACCAGGGAGCAATTGTAGGGGTGCAGGATGACTATTATACCTAATATGTTATTACTGTTGTTGTCTGGAGATGTTGTAACTGCCCAGAGTATTCCTGGAGAACATATGAATTTTAGTGGAGCGTCATCAAATTGCTAAGGATCCCAAATCTCAGGAGAAGATGCTCCAGTACTCTGAAGGAGTGTCTCCCCATAAGATGGAGTGAAAGAATGAGAGTGGGTTTAGTTAAAGCAGAACTATGAGGTGAGCGCTTTTCACTCACCTCATAGTTCTAGCCGACCTGTGACAATGAGACTGTCACAGGTCGGCTCAGTAGATCGGGAAGTGAGCGAACATATACCGGCGTTCGCTCACCTCTCGATCCTGTCACAGCTTTCTGCCGTGACATGAGAGGGGCTGTATTCCCCGCTCCGAACCGCCAGCGCTGACTGGCGGATTGGACGGGGGAGGGGGCGAGTACAGCTGGCTCTGCCTCTAGATAGGCAGAGCCAGCTGTCATTCACGCAGCTGGGCGGATCCCGGCATAATTGTCGGGATCCGCTTCAGCTGCGGCGTCTCTGAATACCACGAGCTACACTGTGGCGTCTCAGTATACCGCGAGCTGCAGCTCGCGGTATACTGAGCTTAGGGTGACGGGAGGACGCTAGTTTGTGTCCTCCCATTACCCTAAGGAGAACTATGGGGAAAAGCCTTAACCCCATAGTTCTCCTTGAGCCCTCGTTCACACCTGAACGTTTTGTAGCGCGTTCTACGCTTGACGAACGCTCTACAAAACGCTCAAAAA